AGATTTAATAAAAAAGTCATTCTCTCCGTGTTTTGAATGATTGAAATTAGTTGTTGACAAATTGTGACTTTGTATGAATTTGTTTACAAAACTTGAATTTGATTAATCATTTTAAAACTTGAATTTGATTGATGAATGTCCAAAACGAGAAAGAAGAAGCTCAAATCTAAGAGAGATTTCATTTGCGTTGCATGTTTTAATCTCTACATTATTCCCAGACTCCCATTTGTTTTATTTCATAGGTTTCATGACTATTGTCTGTTTTTGAATATCAGTCGTAATAAAAAATAATGCGTCCGCCCCTTTGACTTTGATCTGTATTTAGATTTAGAATTAGATTTAAATTCTTATTTTATTGAATTTCTCCTTTTTATTCAATAAGGAGTCATCGCTGCTGAAAATTCAGCTTTGCATCGCAGGAATAAATTACATTTTAAAATATTTTCAAATAGAATAAATTGTTTTCAATTCTAATAATATTTTACTGTATTTTTGATCAAATAAATGCCTTCTTGGTGAGTGTAAGAAATAATAGTCTTAATAAAGAACGAGCAGATGTGTCCAAATCTTTGACTTGTAGTGCATCTGTAATGCATTTCCATTTGAATGATTTCCCATCTCTCCCCATTTTCCGGTATGATGATATTTGAGATATTTTGAATCCGCTTATGTGAATCAAATCTTATCCAGTTTCCAAATTACATTGTGATAAACCGAACCGGATACCTCTGAAAAGGCCTCCTCCACATTTGTGATAGGAATACAGCTGTCAGACCTGAGATATTGAATCTGAATCAGTTCAGTTTGAACTCAAACATTCGACAGTAATCCTCATGATGGTTTCTGGGATGTGTTTGCCCTCAAGGTGTTGCGTTGTGCGTCTGTATGAGGTCTCGACTGTACAGCGGTATTTTCTGCCCCATCTGACATAAGATCCAGCGGGACGGGAGTTTGTGCCGATAACTGTGAGATCACATTATTTTCCTCTTTATCACAAAGTTATTTGGAGATTTCACCTTCGTACAGACAATATTCAAAGCTGAAGTGTGTCATTTCGCAATTGCAAACAATTCTAACGGTCTAAAGTCAGAGTGTTGTGCTGTGTTGGGAAATCAACCTACAAATGGCTCACTTATAAGTGACTCTACACATTAAAAGGGAATTTTAAAGAAATAGTTCATCCAAAAATGAACATATGCCTATAATTTACCCTCACTCTCAGGCCATCCAAGATGTAGATGAGTTTGTCTCTTCATCAGATTTGGAGAAATGTAGCATTGCATCAGTGTCTCAGCAATGGATGCTCTGCAGTGAATGGGTGCCGTCAGAATGAGAGTCCAAACAACTGATAAAAACATCACAATAATCCACACCACTCCAGTCCATCATTTAACATCTGGAGAAGACAAAACCTGTGTGTTTGTAAGAAACAAATCCATCATTAAGGTGTCTTTAACTTCAAACCATTGCTTCCTGCTAAAATAAGAGTCCATAATCCATAACAACACTTCTTCCAGTGAAAAAGTGCATCTCCTGTTGTCTCTCACATCAAAATCCAGCCACATATTTGTTTAGAGCTGTTTAAACGCTGCTTGATCTGTGCAGATTTCTCTCCTGATTCAGCTTTTGTCTTCTCCAGATGTTAACTGATGGACTGGAGTGCTGTGGATTACTTGTGGATTATTGTGATGTTTTTATCAGCTGTTTGGACTCTCATTCTGACGGCACCCATTCACTTGCAGTGAGCAAGTGATGCAATGCTACATTTCTCCAAATCTGATGAAGAAACACACGCATCCTAATCTTGGACGGCCTGAGGATGTGTAATTTTTCAGCAAATCTTCATTTTTGCCTGAACTATTCCTTGAATATAAAAGAAATGACACACATCACCTTTAAATTTAGTCCGAGTTAGATTTAAATGACCTTTTTATTCAATGAAGACATCTTCCCACATGCAAACAGGCAGGTTCTTTCCTGAAATCACCTCCCTGCTAATGATTTCTTCACACTTGCTGAAGGCCTGTGGCATGTTTCACAATAGTTTTTGAGTTGTTTTGCCTGTCCTGATTTAAACAGCAAGGCCTTTGACTGAAATGCCAAACGGAGAGCCTGCATGCATGTGTGTGTGTGTGTGTGTGTGTGTGTGTGTGTGTGTAGAGAGGTGGTTTCTGAGTGCCAAGTACTGTGACTATGGCGTGTCCTCTACACTGTTATTTCACAGGCTTTTTCCTATTCAAAACAAAGAAACAAAAAAAGCACAATGTCAAATGTTTTTCTTTATATCACTGTAATTTTAGTCTAGCCTTTGCTAATTTCTACGAAACCAAGTGTTATTATATCTAATGCGCAGCACCTGCTTGAGGTGTTGCTTGTGTAACCTGTATTAAAGCCCCTTTAACGTGTGCCACGGTGGACGGAGGGTCTTTTTGACTCCCAAACTTATCTTATATCTGAAGATCCTCCTCGAAAAGTGCACAGATGTATATTTGAAATGCTATAGTTGCATGAGATCGCCTTTAAATTCATGGAAAGCAAAGAGTGTGTCTGTACGGTGGGTATTTAAAATGATATTGTGTTCTAAACGCTTAATATTTACTTTTATAATAGCGCTAATGCTCCGTGTGTTCAGTGAGAATGAGGGTTTGTTGGTTTTCCAAACGAATGAAATGGAGTCCAGCTGATTTCTACAGAATTACGGTACAATTAAACCCCATGTAAATGAACTTTTAAATAATATTATGATTATTATTATAAAAACATAACTTGCATGGACTGATTACCCTATTTAAATATTAGAACTTTGAGATACCTTGTAATTGAATCAATGCCTAAATGTATGGATTTGTTGGTGCTTTTCTGCACTTTTCTCTTTTAGAAGTCTGAATGTTTAGATCTGTGCAGTTGTACAAATTAATAAACATTTTAAAACTGTCTGCATTCAATATTTAGTGTGCTTGCTTGCATTATAAGAATGATATGCTTGATTGAATATGTTTGCACTGACAATAACATACAAGTTTATAATATTGTGTGGTCAAGGGAGACACCTAGCGGTGCAACAGAGTATTGCACACTATATTTTTGTGATTAGGAAATAATTACAAGACAGATTCATGACAACACTATTTATGTACACGATATATTTCAGACCGATTTTCGTGTAAATCGTTCTTTTGACACTTTATGTAGTGGTTTATGATCGAATAACAAATTATTTCTGCTCGTGTTTCAGAAATGAGAGTGAGACCCAAGAAAATTAGCACATTAATTACATACATTATACATTATCCGATAACATTATTAAGTGATTTGAGAGAAAAAAAAAATATTTGAGAACATTAGTAAGTGATTTCAGAAAAAAAACTTTGAAATAGATACTGTTCTATTTACATTTAAATTAAGTAATTTAGCAGACGTTTTTATCCAAAACGAGTTACAAATGAGGACAATAGAAGCAATCAAGACCTTGCACCATGCACTTTTTATTGTTAAAAAGGAAAGTCAATCGCTAATTTGACAATCTTCATGGCAACAGGAAACTTATTGAACTACATTTCCCAGAAGGCACAGCGCGTCCACCGCTCCACTCCTAAAGAAACAAAAAAAGCACAATGTCAAATGTTTTTCTTTATATCACTGTAATTTTAGTCTAGCCTTTGCTAATTTATACGAAACCAAGTGTTATTATATCTAATGCGCAGCACCTGATTGAGGTGTTGCTTGTGTAACCTGTATTAAAGCCCCTTTAAAGTGTGCCACGGTGGACGGAGGGTCTTTTTGACTCCCAAACGTATCTTATATCTGGAGATCCACCTCAAAAAGTGGTATATTTGAAATGCTAATGTTGCATGAGATCGCCTTTAAATTCATGGAAAGCAAAGAGTGTGTCTGTACGGTGGGTATTTAAAATGATATTGTGTTCTAAACGCTTAATATTTACTTTTATAATAGCGCTAATGCTCCGTGTGTTCAGTGAGAATGAGGGTTTGTTGGTTTTCCAAACGAATGAAATGGAGTCCAGCTGATTTCTACAGAATTACGGTACAATTAAACCCCATGTAAATGAACTTTTAAATAATATTATGATTATTATTATAAAAACATAACTTGCATGGACTGATTACCCTATTTAAATATTAGAACTTTGAGATACCTTGTAATTGAATCAATGCCTAAATGTATGGATTTGTTGGTGCTTTTCTGCACTTTTCTCTTTTAGAAGTCTGAATGTTTAGATCTGTGCAGTTGTACAAATTAATAAACATTTTAAAACTGTCTGCATTCAATATTTAGTGTGCTTGCTTGCATTATAAGAATGATATGCTTGATTGAATATGTTTGCACTGACAATAACATACAAGTTTATAATATTGTGTGGTCAAGGGAGACACCTAGCGGTGCAACAGAGTATTGCACACTATATTTTTGTGATTAGGAAATAATTACAAGACAGATTCATGACAACACTATTTATGTACACGATATATTTCAGACCGATTTTCGTGTAAATCGTTCTTTTGACACTTTATGTAGTGGTTTATGATCGAATAACAAATTATTTCTGCTCGTGTTTCAGAAATGAGAGTGAGACCCAAGAAAATTAGCACATTAATTACATACATTATACATTATCCGATAACATTATTAAGTGATTTGAGAGAAAAAAAAAATATTTGAGAACATTAGTAAGTGATTTCAGAAAAAAAACTTTGAAATAGATACTGTTCTATTTACATTTAAATTAAGTAATTTAGCAGACGTTTTTATCCAAAACGAGTTACAAATGAGGACAATAGAAGCAATCAAGACCTTGCACCATGCACTTTTTATTGTTAAAAAGGAAAGTCAATCGCTAATTTGACATAATCTTCATGGCAACAGGAAACTTATTGAACTACATTTCCCAGAAGGCACAGCGCGTCGACCGCTCCACTCCTATTGGCTGCCCGAGTGTTGTCGTCATCAGCGTGCAGTTAGACATGACGCGGCGCGTCGGACACTCATCACATCAGCGATGCGCGTCGCGTCGAGTCGGCGGTCCGTTCGTTGTGTGCGCAGCCCGTTAAGCGTCGGTGTCCGGACCCAGCCGTTCGTCCATGAGAAGCGCGGCAGCGGCGCTGTTAGCGTGTGTCTTCGCGGCGCTGCTTCACTGGCTCGGCTGGACCGACAGAACTGCGCTCCTGTTGGGCTTCGGCTCTGCAGGTACCGCTCAACTTCTGCTACTTTCTCCTCCTCTCTATTAGTCTGTTATTTAGACAGATGCTGAATGCATACAGTGGCTTAATAGACAATGCATATAAATTCTTACTACTCGGTTCTTGTGAAGCTACTGATGCATATAAATATATTATTAATGCATATAGAAACTTGGTGATCAGTTTATACAGAGCATTGCTACTGAATATATAATGCTAATGCATAAACTACTCTTTGCATTTTCTCACTTCATATAGAAAAAAATAACCCATTTAGAACATATATATATATATATATATATATAATGCATAGACCATTAATGAAAATCATAGAAAATGTAAACGCTGAGTGCATGTAGAATGCATTAAAAAAAATCAATGCATAATGATCAATGCATAAAAAGCATTATAATGTTTTTTTTATTAATGATTAATAATTCATATTATTTGCTCATAGGACATTAATGCTAAATTCCTATAGAAAAATGAATGCATACAGAACATAGATGCTTAGTTGCTCAAACTATTGCTCATTTTATATAGAGCACATATTATTTTTTATGTATGTTAAAGTTCCTTATGCATTCAGTATTAATGGTCTATATACATGATTCTATCTATCTATCTATCTATCTATTTAATATCATTTATAGACCATTAATTTTCAATGTAAATGCATATGGGACTTTAATGATCAATGCATAAAGAATATTAACACTCAATTCTTATAGAACAATTAATGCTTAACATAAGAGGGAAGAAAACGCAAGCTATTAATAAGATTAGTATTGACCAAGTTCAGAAGCTGTCATATGTGGATCAACTTACTTTACTTTCAATATGAAAAATAACTTTTATACTGATTCAATGCATTTATTGCATTTTGGGAAAAAATAATCAGTTTTTATAATAAATCTTTGAAAATCAAAATCTGGATTTGAATTTTTAATGCTATTATAACCTAAAGATGCTATGTGAAAGTTTGAAACAGAAAATAGTGGTTTTCATCTTGCCACTTTCTTGGTAAAGAAATCACATTTTTACTCAAATTAATCAAAAATGGATTTATAGCATTTCGGAACCAAACTCTTCATATATATATATACAGTATATATATAAAGAGAGAGAGAGAATTATAGAATATATAGAATTATTGCTGCTTAATGTATAGACCCTTAATGCTCAGTGCATATAGAGCTTGAATGTTAACTGCATGCATATTAGCATTAAAGGGTTAGTTCACCCAAAAATGAAAATTAGGCTGCGTTTTACTCACCCCCGAGGCATCCTAGGTGTACATGACTTTCTTCTTTCAGACGAATCCAGTCGGAGTTATATTAAAAATTGTCTTTGATCTTTCAAGCTCTATCATTGCACTCAGTGGGTGTTGCATTGCTTCAGTCCAAAAGACGTGAAATAAAAAGCACCTTTCCATAAAAAAAAAAGTGTCTCACACGGCTCCGGGGGGTGAACAAATGCCTCCTGTAGCGAATCGATGTGTTTTTGTAAGAAAAATATCCATATTCAAAACGTAATAATCATTTGAATCTAGCTTGCGCTCACTGTTGTACACGTATGAGTTCAGCGTTGCGCATGCAAGTAAAACGCAGCCTAATTTTCATTTTTGGGTGAACTAACCCTTTAATACTGAATGCATTGATCATTGCACTTTAAAGCTCTATAAGCATGTTGAACAGTTTGCAGCAGTTTACTTATAATATCACCAATGGGCTCTGCTGGGGGGTTGAGATGTGCAATTAATGCATTAGATGACGGCTGCTTGTAAACCACAGTGATCGGATTGAAGAAAGTATCGGATTGAACATGAAGTTGTGTACAATAGAAGAGAGACTAGAAAGTATCTGAGATCTCATTGAACTCTGGGAGAGATTTACCTGGCAACAAAGGCACAGATGCGCATTACACACTTGCTCTGATGTTTGTCACACATGGTGGAATAGGACACAAGTGACAATCCATTAGGGGATACAAAGGGCCGCTGCCAGAGACTTTCATCTCGCTGCATCATCTGTTCTGTGTGTGAGCCTTCAACCTGCCGGAAAAGCCTTTATAAAGGAATAGTTCACCCAGAAATAAACAGTTGCTGAAAATACACTCAACCTCAGGCCATCCTAGATGTAGATGAGTTTGTCTCTTTATCAGATTTGGAGAAATGTAGCATTGCATCAGTGTCTCAGCAA